TCCGCCGCCCCACCCGCTCCCGGAGCCGCCCGCCGAAGCGCTCTACAGCGCCCCCGGCTGCAAGCCCTGCCTCAGCTGCCACGACTGCATTGTGCCCGATAACACCGCTGCTAATCAGCATCATTCTCCAAATGAGAGAACGGGAATGAGAGCCTGGGCTTGCAGCGACTGACAGCCCTGCGCGAAATTGTTATCTTTTATTCAAGACACTGACTGGATATTCTAGCGCCTTCTGTTAACGACACATGCCCAGACTATGCTACGAAGTGAAAGCATTCACGAGCTGTTTCTGAAGTGAAGACTGCTTTATGTTTCTGAAAGAAATACTGAAATGTTTTCTGGCAGCGTACGTCTATAATAAATCCCGTTCAGATCTTCAATTCTTTATTGCAGCGAGAGAAACCAAAAGCAACCGTACGAAAGCCAAAGCCTCCCCTGCCCCAAAGGGTCGGCATTAAGAGACTCCACATCGCCCTTAATCATAGCCCAAGGAAAGGAATTGCTTCCCACACCTGTGCGCAAGTGCTGTGTTTTTCCATCCTCTTCTACGGAATTAGTTAACCCTTCTTATAAACTTAACCAGGAGATTCTCCTTTAGGAGATCACGGTTTGCTGTTTCTGCCTTCTATCACATCCATGTGAATTAAGGAAAGAGACAGCTTTACATCTCAGTGATAAGCCTTGCTACTCACAAGCGAAGGTAGTTCACGCACACTTAAGAAGTGATGACCCACTCCCCTTAAGCACATCAGCTACCGGACATGATCAAAGGAGGCTAGAAACACAATCCCCAGCAAATAAACAAAGAACTCAAACGTAAAGCCCTTACTAAGAGATCTAAAATAGGTGCAGAAAGGAAAGAGAAATTCGTGGGACACGCTCACATTTTTCCATGGATCAGCGGGAGACAACCCACTCCTACGATTTTTTTCAGGACCGACACAGAGTTTTCAACTTACTTTACTGGATTTCAGTACCCCTATAAGCACCATTCTTGTCAATTTGGAAGCAACGATCCGCGATTTTATTTTTTTAATTCACATCCTTCGTGTAAAACACTTCTATTAGCACAAAACCCAACAAAATGTACGTTCTCAAAAGACATATATCGCGGTACAGATATCGCTTTGCCGCAAAACTATGGTAGTTATCCAAACGGGCGCTTTTGGCGAACTTAACGTGTAACACGAAAAAAAAATGATAAAAACGTACTGCTTGTTCTTGCTACCCTGGCAGCCCGTCAGATTTCGTTTTCACGCTACAAAAATCAGAAATAAGAAATATTCGTTTTTCCCTGTAGAAGTTGTATCCAGTTTCTAACATCGAACAAGGAACACAAAACATGATCCTAATATCTCATCTCAAAGACTGCTTTGGAGCTGGTAGCGATGAGAACAGCGTCTATTCAGGGCCATTAGTGCATAGCCAGGATCAGCTGCTTCGATAACGGTGTTAAAACAACCCGGTAATTAAGCAATCACTCTCCACACAGAGAAATCAATGTGGAAACCGGTGTCGAAAACTTTTCTCTAGATGAACTTGTGTTTCCCAGCTTCTTATGCTCTACTGCTGGAATAACCAAGGGTTTTCAACATACCATCTCTAGACTATTCAATATTGCATATAGAACTCCTCCCTTCTACTTTTCCCTTAACCACTCTTCCTCCCTCTCTTGACTGCCACCAACTTAACAATTTTCGACTCTGCTTTCCACAGCACGTTACTGGGGTGGATGGCGCAGAACAGACGCCACAATACTACGAAAAGAACGGGATCGGGTCGTGGGAAGACATGCAGCGAGGTCAGGGAGCACCCCCTCCCTCAAACAGTTCTCCACTTTTTCATAAAGCGTCCTGTGTCTCACTCGACTTTCTCCTACGCTTTCACCGGACTTCCCAAGTCAGAACAGTACTCACGACGTCCACCAACGTCTCCTCCCCTCACTACGCCCCATAACTATTACTTCATGTACTTCAGCTTCTTAAGATTAGCGAAACCCACCAACCAGCGAGCTTCTGAATCAGTAACAACCCAAACGATCCTTGGCACACATGGACCGGTGCGTTCATCAAACCAAGCATAACCACACCTGGTTTCAAAGGTAACTACTACCCTAATTACAGTCATCCTGAGGGAGCTACCAAACTCCTGAGAACCTCTCAGGCGTTTTCAAACGTTCAAAGACGCTAAAAAAGGGAAATAAAAGATCCGCTAACACCTACTACTGCCATTTGACGTAAAGTAGTGGAGAAAAAAGAATCTTCCAGCGCTAAGAATACCTTTAACAATAACGTCCTACGCAAGGAAAAAAAAAAAAAAAAAAGGAAAAGGAGACATCGAAATTTTACGAGGCATTCAGAGTCAATGAAATTTCAAAAGGCGAACACGCGTGTCCAAAGCAGATCACTACAGCTACATCCAACAGCAATACATGACTACGACTCGCATTATAAAATCATTACCACAGAAAAGGTGTTTTAATACATAGATGAGCCATGAAATGTGATAGGCAAAAAGAACTATCAAAGAGAGAAAAAAAAAAAACCAGAGATATTTGCAAATACACTTACCACGTGAGAAGTAAGTGGGGACAGAGACGGCCCCTTCCCAGCAGAACCGTTTTCTGCCGCGGCGCCCGGCGGCGGCGGGAAGTTGGGGCTGAAAACCATCAGGTCGCTCTTGCCCGCGCCGTCCGCCACGCACAGGCTCCGGCTCTGGCGCTGCGAGTACGACCAGCTCCCCACTTCGCTGGCGCACACCAGCGTCGCCGGCCCGGGCCCCGACAGCACGCCCGCCCGCGGCGACCACCCCGCCGCCCCCGCCACCCCCACCGCCACCACGCACACCCT